ATTCTTTTTCCTGCAAAATGGTCCTTCATTTATATCCCCCTTTTTGTTTACTTTTGTCATCAATGTATATTTCATTGCCATTCGTATATTGTAGGTGCATGGATTCAGCAAAGTAATCCAATATAGTCCAGTAGTCAATTGCCGTCTCAGCATGCCCCAGGGACGGGGTTGGAATGGAACCCCTGAACCCCTGTGCCTGCTTGCAGGTGCTTTAATCCACTGAGATATTTGGCAGGCCCTTTTATTTTGATGAAAGGTCTCACTGGGCTAGGCTGGAACTTGTAGTCCTCCTACCTCAGCTTCCCAGAGCACCAGGATTAGAAAAAAGTACCACCATACTTGGCCATAAATTAATTGTTTTGGTACCAGGAACCTTATATTTGTCAGGCAAGTAGTGTTGGGTGCTGCAGTACTGAGCTATATTCCTGACTCCAGAAATTAATTTTTAAATAGTTGCCAAACTGGCCTTTCTAGGAGAGAGAAAAAAAGATAAATCAATTGTTCTGTTATCTGGGAAGAATCCTTTGTCTATCTATAGAGAAGAATAGGCTGGGTTAAAAAAAAAAAGGAATAAGCCTGGTGTGGTGGTGCATGCCTATATCCCAGAACTCGGGGGAGGGGGGTTTGAGGCAGGTGGATCACTGAATTTGAGGCCACCCTGGGCTGTGTCGTGAGTTTAGGGCCAGTCTGAACTACAGAGTGAGATCTTGTCTCAAAAAGAAAAAAAAATTATTTGCACTGCTATTAGTTACCTATAATGTATATATTTGTAAAAGTAGCTCAAATATGATGAAAATGTGCAAACATCATAGAATCAGAGAAAACATTCGAGATAAAACAGTTTTCCACTGAAGATAACTAGTAGTATTTTAGGTCTACTTCATGACCTTTTCAACTTTACCTGACCATCCCAAAGTGAAGTATGCTAGAGTCAGGATAAAGAAGCTATCTTTAATGGAACTATAAGCGATCAAGGAAGCCTGCAGAAGAAATGCCTATAATCTCAGCACTAGGAGGCTGAGGTGGGAAGATCCCTGGAAGTTTGAGGCCTGCCTAGGCTGCATAGTGAGTTCAATACCAGCCTGGAATGCATAGTGAGATCCTATCTGAAGAAAAGAGTTGCTAATACTTTCAAGTTTCTTGACCTCTGTTAAGTATCTAAAACTTTTTGAAAATATCATTTGTTCCAGGATTGAAATAGATAAATAATTCTATTTATTTATGTAGTACAAGGTCTACAGGGTCTCACTACATAGATTGAATTCAGTGATTCTCCTGTTTTAGCCCCCCAAGCTCTGGCATTACAGGTGCACACCAACATGCCCAGTCTCAATTGTGGTCTCAGTGTGCCCTGGGGGTGGGGCCAGTGCCAGCACGGCGTGCTAGGGATCAAGCTGGGGTCCCTGTGTCTGCCTACTAAGCAGGCACTTTAATCCCCTGAGCTATCTGGCTGGCCTGACAAATAATTATTTAGAAAATTCTAGTTTTCCATGCACAACCCCATTATTCTGTAAGATAGTGGTGTGGTTTTTCAATCAAGTAAGACACCAGCATAAGTACCTAAATACTGTATAACAGAAATTTACAGCATTTTTACCATTTGTTTATTTGCTCCCTATTATATAAACATACCCTTAGTGTACTCCATAGAAAACTTACACTCCAAGCCCTCGCAAGAAAAAACAACTTTCTATTATTTGTTCTTTAGAAGATTTTCCTTATTTGTTTATTTATTTATTGTGGCCAGCTCAGCCCACCCTAAGGGCAGGGCTGGTGTGGCTTGTGCTGGGGATTGAACCACCATCCTTAAGTGCTTGTTTAAGCTTGCTGAAGCAGGTGCTTTAGACTGCTGAGCTATTTCACCAGCCCCAGGTTTTCCTTATGTAAGACTAAATCTGCCTTCCTAAATGTGCTACCCTTGGGCCTAGACCTTCTCATAGCCTTGGTATTGATATAAAGACTTTTAAAATCTGAAGACATTTGAAATTCAACAGATACAGAAAAAGGTGATTTCTAGGAGCTTCCATAATCAGACTAAAAACAGTAACTTTTGGGAAATAAGACTGTGATGAATTCCCCCAGTCACTTAACATAAGAGGGTATATCAAAAGTTTGAACTTCCCTACATGCCTAAACCAACATACTAAGTCTTCTGCCTTTAGAGACGCCACAGCTTTCATATCTCCAGGGTAGGTGTACTCCCAGGAGGAAGAATGAGATAAATCTACCATAAATACCCTTTTCAGGGAGTTTCATAGCCCTAAATAAGATGGAAAGACTGCTTGTACTTATATAGATAAACATTACCACAAAATTTATCTTCCTTTCCTCCTAGAAACCCATTTGTCTTTCCTAAAGAAACTTACTTGTTAACATAGAAATTGTTTCTTCCTACTACCATTTCCTACTAGTTAGCTTTTAATTTTACACATTTAGTAAGTCACCTACTTTTGATAGCTCCCATAAACATACTATAAACTTTTCACTGTTAATATGTCAGTTTAATTTGCATGCTCCTAGTCACAACATAAAAGGGTATATAAAAAGTCTGACCTCACCACATGCCTAAACCAACATATAAGTCTTTTGCTGTTAGAGACTGTGTACTGTTTTTGTGTCTTCAGGACTGTAATATGCTGAGGTTCTGTGCTTGCAACATTCTTACCTTCTTACTCAGCCAAAAGAATAAGAGACAGAAGAGGAGGGTGAAAGAGTACATTATATCAAGATTGGTTAGGAAAAGTTAGGTTGCCTGTTCATTTCTATTTAATAAGCTGTTTCCTATTTAAAACCCAAGTGCCTTCTGTCATTTGTAAAGACTTGAAAGGCAGCAATCTACTAAGATCCTTCATTAAGGACTGTGTATACACAAGCTAAATTTTGCTTTATCAAACGTGATATTCTGCTAAGGGCTTGGTCAGGAGCTTCTCAGGCATGACACACCAGGGGTTTATATACAAACAGACACATGCACACCTTTTTTCATTCCTCATTATAAGATGTTTTCTTAGCTAAGTATAAACCTGCAAAATTGCTGTTCAGAGTTTGTGGTCTCTGTTATTCCCATATTTTCCCTTAAAACCCAACTAATAATTGTTCCTAAAATCATTCCCCACAATTTCTTTGAAATTGCAGATATTCTCTGTAGTGTTTTTGGCAATCTGAGAGTGTTTTTAGTTCTTACTGCTGATTGGCTGCTACCTGGAAAGCCATTTGTGGCAGATGCAACAACACTCCCACATCATAACATACTACTATACTGCCTGTCACTATCTTGAATGTTGTCAGTTTTGTTCTTCTTAGAGTGTTAAGATTCCTAAGATGCTGCCAAAATACCTTGCACCTTTTGACTCTTTATTTTTTATTTTTTTAAGTAGCAAATCCATCACAGGGGTGAAAAAACAACCCTCAGCACAGACACTCCTCAGGCCAGACAGGTGTTAGCCGGTCTGTAGGACTTAAACTTATGAGACAGACTGTGAGAGCCAATATTTGATGCACAAAAAGCTCAAGAGAGATCTTTCTGTCTTAAGCCTTTGCCAGCTCCTTAGAATGTATGTGGTAGAGTCAGGCCCATTTGTAAGTCTTTATTACAGCATTTTATTAAACTCAATTACATAATGGTGGAGACATAGTGTATTTAGGGTTTAAACCAAAAAAGTAGGCATTTATAGGCATTTTTCTGACCATATTTGAAATTCATGTTTTTTTATAATTCATGGATATTCTACAAATGTGACCTTCATAAATTTTGTTTATTTATTTATTTATTTAGCGGAGCTGGGGATTGAACTCAGATGCTTGTGCTTGCCAGGGAAGCACTTATTTCACTGAGCCGTCTCCCCGGCTGACTTTCATAAATTTTGGAGATCCACTGTATTTAATTTCCACATGTTTGCATAGTTCCTGTGGTTTAAATTGCCATTGTTTTGTAGTTCACTTATACTCTGATTTAATAATATGTAATGGATAGTTTTAATTCTTTAGCATTTACTTAAGCATGCTTTATGGCTGGCATAGGAACTATTTTGGAGAAAGTCCCATGTACTAATGAGAAGAATGTGTATTTCTTTGTTCTGTTTTGTACTGTTAATGTGTGTTCTGGATGGAACACTCTGTAGGTATGAAGTCCATTTGTTTGAAGGTTTGGTTTAACTTTGATATTTCCTTGTTGACTTTATTGGCCTAGCTAATCTATTTGTGATAATTGGGTATTGAGGTCCCCACTTTAATTGCATTGGTATTTATCTGAATTTGCATGTCCATTAGTGTTTGTTTTATGAAGTTGGACATGCTGGTATTTGATGTATATATGTTTATAATTATCGTTTCCTGTTGAATTGTTCCCTTGACCAACATATAGTGACAGTCTTTGGCTCTTCTGATTAGTTTTGGTTTGGAATATACTTTGTCTGAAATTCAGATAGCTACTACTGCTTTTTTTTTTTTCGGGGTTCCTCTTGCTTAGAATATTGTTTTCCATCCTTTGATTTTTAATCTGTGAATTACTATTTAAATTAAATATATTTCTTGCATACTGCATATTATTGGGTTTTGTTTCTTGATCCATTCTGCAAATCTTTGTTTTTTGATTGAGGAACTGAGACCATCAAATAACATCAAGAATTGCACAAGAAAAGGGGAAAAAAAATAAAATCAGCAATACGAAAATAATGCAATAACAGGAATAAATCAATTCCTGAAGTACTTTGGGGACAAGCTTTACGTTTATTTTATGAAGGCAGTAATTGATAGAATTTAGTTTATAGACTTTCTTTTAATAATTCCTTAGCATCAGTACTTTGTCTTTTAAAATTAATTTGATTGATACATCTTAGATATATATATAATGATAACATTATCACATGGAATTTGTACCAGTACATGATATATCTTGATTATTTTTTCCCCTTTTTCCTCCTCTGCCTTCAGGCCCTCCTCCTCATTTTATTTACAAAAGTTTTGTTTCCATTTTTCCTCTTTATTCTCTTTTTTCCTTTTCCCTTCCTTCATTTTCCCTCCCTTCCCTTGTTCCCTTTTCCATTTGAACATTTTCTTCCTATTTAACAATATCTGTTATACAGTTTGGTGCTTATTTACACTTATTTTCTTACACCAGAGAAACCAGATGATATTTGAACAGGTCTGTCGCATTTATTTTACATAAAGAGTGTGGTCTCAAGGTACATCCATTGATCGTGAAGTTTTTCAGGTTCTCCTTCTCATGGAAATACCATGTTGCTCCATCAATTTTGAAGGAAAATTTTGCAAGATGCATAAGTCTACATTAGAAATTATCTTTTAGGACTTGAAACACTTTATTCCAAATTATTTTGGCCTTTAAGTTTTGTGTTGAGAAGTAATTCTAATGGATTTAATTTGATATGTGATTTGCTGCTTTTCTCTTAAAGTTTTTAAGATTTTGTTTCTGTGATGCAATCTGTTGTTACCTTGACTATAATGTAGCATAAAGAGACTCTTTTATTCATGGCTATTTGTTGTTCTACATGCTTTACTTATCTGTATATTTATTTCTTTTCTGAATATTTGGGAAGTTTTCTGCCACTATTATAGATTTTTTAAAATGCCATTTATATTGTCTTCTGATTTCTCATTTATTTTAATTCTTAATTTAGTCTTCTTTGTATCATCTGATAGATGTTAGATCAACTTTTCACATTCTTTTACTGCTTTTAAGGTATTTTTGAGTACTAGATCTTTTTTTTTTTTTTTTTTTTTTTTTTTTTTTGTGGAGCCGGGGATTGAACTCAGACCCTTGCACTTGCCAGGGAAGTGTTTATTCCACTGAGCCATCTCCCTGGCTTTGAGTACTAGATCTTTAAAGTCATCATGATCTTCTAGTTTTGAAATTCTGTCCTCACACTATTGGCTTCTGCTCCCCATACTTTCAATGTAACTTTTAATCTCCTGGTTTAAATCTTTTCAAGGACTCTAATTATTTGCTAAATAGTAATTCATCTATTGTATCATTTTGTTTAGCTTACCTAGCTTTTTATAACTGTCATCTGAGATCTCCTGGAACCTTTTTTTTTTTCTATAATTTTATTGAGAAACAAACAGCAATGAGACAGTTTCAAATCAAATTGGTAGGACAGTTTCAATAATTAACACATTGCATACATTCTTCCTAGTGGTTAATTGCTGTACAA